TCATTAATGATAATGAGTAATGGTAATAACAAATTATTAAACTATTGTAGCCAAAACGAGGCCAAGTGAAGCATCTTATTCAAAAATAAAGTACCAAGGAATGAAAATTAAAATCGTATACATTACACTCAAACACCGCAACGCTCGAGTTTCAAACATACAGGTAACTAGCTGTACTGAACTTTCTGAGTAAATTGAGGGCGCATTTGCAAACGATGGCGCTTAGCGAAATTTGATTGGCTAAATCTATGGTAGCCATCTTGGATGGTACACACACACAGTTCTGCGTATTTCGAACATCGAATACATTGCGGTTAGTGCTCTAGTATTCTTATTATACCTCTATGGTGGAACCTGATAACAAAAAATATCAGTCTGCCGCCCTCTATATACTTATCCGGTACGTGACAGCGAAACATTCAATGTAGCCATCCACAAGATTATTATAATGAGATGTTAAAATGTGTAATAATTTAGTTCACTGTTTGCCAAATCCTTGGCCCTAGTGCCTAACGTGAATAAATAAACAATAAAGAACATAAAACAGACAACATAATTCAAATATTTTATTTTATTTTTATTTGAAGTTTATTATCTTTTCTTTAAATTTAACAAGTGCAGTACTGTTCAACATTGAAATTTATCACAAACATAAATTATATTCTCACTATGTCAAACTTTGTATTTTATTATTTGGTAACTTGATTATATATTTGGTAATAAAATTAAACCTGAATTAATTCAGTCATGTGAAGAAACACAAAAGTATGAAACTGTTTTAGGGAAGGTAAAATTAATGGGGAAAAGGCTGTGGCAGTGGGGGGAAGAGCAGAATGAATAGGGTCAGTACGTCGGCCACGGAAAACGACCACTCACAGTCGGGGCTGGTACCCATTCTCCAGATATACACAGTAAAACAAATAATCATTAATACTTTCTTTTCTTTTTCCTTTTTTTTGGTCCAATTTCCAGATAAACTTTGCATTGGCAGGAGACATATCTAAAACAAAAATCACAAGCACAATACCCCATAGAGGCAGAGCGAGCGAGGAAAGGGGTGGAGTCAAGGGGAACAGGATCCATGAGGAATTCTCGCTTCTGACTGATCATTTTGTTGTAGATGTGTAAAGTAATATCAATGACTCTCACTAATAATGTAATCAATAATAATCAAATTGATTAAAATTGATTTTCCAATAAAAGTAAAATAATTGAATTTAAATTAATTCTTTGACAAACTTCAAATCAAATTGCACAGATAGTTCATTGATGTTCAAAAAAACTGGTTTAACAACTTTCTGCAATGTTAAATTTTTCTCGCATATCCCCTTGACAACATCAACCCGCACGTTTTCTATTAGTACAAACTTCGCACTAGTCGAACTTCCCAGATTGTGAACCAACTTTGATACCAGTGAAATCCTCTATTAGATCATACACAGAAAATGGAGCTATGCTGTAAAACAAAAACAAAAAAATAATTAAGAAATTATTTGCAGTTTATTGTTTCAAATAAAATTATGAAATCTGATCATACATTTGGTAGCTTTTAAACATGAATAATTATAAATTGTTGATTAATCATAAAGCAGGTGTATTATATTTTACTGCTCAAATATTAAAGTAGGCCTAGCTTAATACTTCAAATGTAGTGTCGATATCGTATATTGCCAACAATTAAAAAAAACCTATAGCACCTACAAAAAACACTAGAAAAGAAAAGGAACACAAGTTGAAGGTTCTGGGAAGTAGTTTTTTTAACCCCCATTTTTTACAGTGACCAACAACCCAAACTCCTGCACGTATAAAATGTAAAAACCTAACGTACGACTTGAAAATCACCCTCCAGGTATGTCGTTTTGGAATAATAATTTCACGTTCATTTCGCAATACGCCATCAACGATTATCGATGTAACGTCCTCTTGGTTCAGTATGGTATCAGTCCTGTGGAGAAATATAAAATGCATGGTTACACAATTGAAAGGGAGGGAGCAGCATTGGCATATCTAGTGCGGAAGGGGGGTGGATAGAGATATGCATTTCCTATTTCGACAGTTAAAAATTGCAGAATGTTTTAGTGAATTAAAAAATTCTTATGATGACATAATTAATGTTGACATAATTTATGTTGAAATATTGAATCTTAACACGATGATGCGTATGTAGTACTTGGAGTATGTATTATACTTTCCTAAATAAAGTTACTAACTCTAGCAAACACATATTTCATTTATTATTTATTTCTTCTTTAGCATGGGGGACTTTATCAGAGCATTGTTATCATCCAGGACCCAGCAACGCATACAATAAAATACAAGTAAATGACAAATTCAAAAAGTACATAGACAATCAATCAAGGCTACAGAAATTTAAAATGTAAAAAGAATAAATTCATAATAAAAATAATAATACCAATATTAATTATAATAATAAAAATAATAATTGCAATAATAATAATACTTATTATTATATAACAATATCATTACTACAGAATAGGGAGACGAAAATTTGTACAAAGATATTAGTGATTGTAAAAATGGAAGGTTCCATTATTTTTGAGGAACAACAGCAGTGGTGTCTGGATGTCAAAATCTGACATCCAGAAGTACAGAGGAAATTAGGTATACTCAAATACAGTATAAATAAACAAATGGTATCAACTGTCCTTGACTTTTTCAATACATACAATATTGGATTTAATCACTTTTTGGAATGATAATCGTTTAGCAGGTTCTATTAAAACACCCACTAAAAAAACACTCCCTCAAATATCCTTCAAGTGAAATCTTCCGGATTGTTTAACAAACATGATGGTAGGTTAAAGTTTGCTAATATAAGGACAGGGTATATCATTTTAATTTTCAAGCAATCACTTCTGGTCACTGCCTTGAATCTATGGAAATGCATAACCCCAGACAGGCTATACGTGTCTTTATGATGAGGCTTAAAACTCGCCTGTTTTGTTAACTTAAAATACAGTATTGTATATTCTATATTCAGCATTATATAGCCAGATATCAGTGCGTATCAAGCTCCTGTCTAGGGCCAGATTAAAGGGCAGTGGGGGCCTGAGGTTGTAATTGCAAGTGGGCCTAAATACTCTGTGGCTAAAACACTAAACCAGATTTTCAGTGATTTTTCCTGGGGATTGAGGGCCCATTTTTCCCCATTGGGGCCTGTGGGCCTGGGGCTGGCGCCCCAAAATCCCCTATATAAATCTGGCCCTGTGTGAGCCATATTCCAGCGGGCCTTTAGAAAGGGCCTGAAATATGCTGGAGAATGGGCCATAAAACTAGCTCTCACCTAATATTTTCTCTGTCTCTTCAGTTGCTTTACAATAAATGAAAAACTACATTCACATAAGTATACATCTAAAGTGCTCAAGAATAATATATTAGTCTCTAATAACTCTTATAGTATTGAGGTATTAGGGCGACCCCAGTCCAGAGCACCCCTTTTTGAAGTTGCTAGACTGGAAAATCTATGAATATTAATTTTGTCGACCACTGATCATGAATAAAAAATAGAATACAAACCTGAATGATAAGTTAGTAAACATTCCAGTATTAATGAAGAAAGGGCAAACAAGGGTTGTTTTTACCCCCTTTCTTCCAAGTGTCCGAAGCTCGGAGCTGAGGCTTTCTCCAAGACCTACGGCTGCATATTTAGATGCGCAATAGTCACTCATGCGTGGAGTACCGAATTTTCCAGCTTGCGACGCAATAGTGACAATGTGGCCGTCGTTGCGATCAATCATATCAGGAAGAAAAGATTTGAGCAGCTGGAATGAAAAACAACACACAATGTTTTATTTCTTTATGCAAAAAATAACAGTGATATTGTATTATTGCATCATCATTTCTATCATGTCCATATATGGGCACATCACACAAATTGTGACATAAAATTTGATAGTGTGGACAGGGTTTAAACCATGTTCACACTATCAAATTGTCAAAAACATGTGACATGCCAAAATATGGTCATGATGACATCACATCATGACCGTATATAGACATATTGTGACTATATATGGATATACAATACAACAGTATTTTGTCAATGAATATTCATAGTCTCTCTACTTATTATTATACTGGACCATTGTCATCATTGGCTTCCAAGGTAAATAAGAAAATGCTAGAATAGAGTAAAAATATTAGTTAAATACAGAATTTCGAAATATATTTACCGCTAACAATGCACTGCAGCCCAACAAAAGTGTGAAAATGCAGTACGCACTGAGAACGATTTGCATGTCACCGAGTTAAGATCATCTGGACTCAGACAACATCCAATTAACCAATGAGGAAATGATGTCATCTTTCTTAAGGGGAATTCCCCTAATGTTATCATAGCGATGAGGACGGACTAACTTAATTACTGTAGCTAGAAGCCTGCGATGATGGGAGGGACCTAGAGGTGACACGGAACAACGATCATGCCACAGAATAACGCCTCTCGTCCTATCTATTGTTTATAAATATATAGGGCAAGGCAATAACTTTACTTACTTACCCAAAAGTGGGAAATAGCATTAACTTCGAACGTCCTGACGATCTGCCCATCGGTGAGGTTGCATATTTCTTCGCCCGATATAACGCCTGCATTGTTGAAGAGAATATCCACTGTTCCAGCCTTTTCCTTCACAATATTTGCCGTTTGGTAAACGATATCCTTTTTACGAACATCTACCGTGAATGTGTGTGCTTCAGCCCCCAAATCTCGTACTTGTTTGGCGGTTTCTTCATTACCTTCTTCATTCATATCCCATAGCACCAGCTTCGCCCCTAGCTTGGCAAAACGATGAGCAAACGAGCGGCCTAGACCGTGTCCAGCCCCGGTGATCAAAACAACCTTACCGCGTACATCCTTCTTAGGATACGGTACAAATATATGGTAGAAATCTGTCGCCAGTGCTACACAAATCTTTATGATTAGAACAAGAATTTCAAATAGAAAAAACATGATTTTACCCTTTCTGATTTAGAACTATGAATTACTGTCTAGAGCGAAGCACCGGGTTCGGGGAGGATCTACTACCACTCGCTACTAGCTAGCACCAGACACGCATGCACTGGCTTGCGACACAACTGGATCATACGATTTGATAAAGTATTTGAGTGGGAACGAAAAGTGGGTCAACTATAATTCTAACGCGTTTGACCTTGAGACTTCAAGGTCGAAGTCTATATAACTTGTGTTTGGGTCATACATTTTAAAGAAAGAGTCAGTCGAGTATTTACATTATTGATTCAGTTTGTAAACTATTCTCTGATTACACATATTTTTTTTTTCTGATTGTCGGCCTACTCTACACGTAAGCAATCAGGTGGATAC